CGCCCGGAAATTCTTTTTATCTTCAAAAATAGGCTTGTGTTCTATGCTCAAGAGCGTTTCGAGCGAGCGACGGCGGAGGAACAGCTGTATTTCACTTTGAGACCTTAAGAGCAGATGCGCTGAAGTGCAAAGGGTATGATTATCTTAGGCGATTGCTCGTGGAGCAGCCACTTTTGCAGAATGTCTTAAGATGACGAAAGAAGTGTGAGTTCAAATGTGGCCCATAGCTTAGTGGGGAGGGTGTATTAAGATAAGCGCTGAAATCTTCTGGACATACACCTTACTCATTGGTAGGTGTAGCTGTAAATACTCACTAGTACCGAAGAATCTATATTTATGAAGCTGTAATGGCGAGGCTGGTGGTACGAAAGGACTTCTGGCCACAAGCTTGACAAAAGAAGGCAAATTTCTATGAAGAACAATACGACAAGTATAATGTAACGGGGTTACACATACCCTGGTAACAGGGATTTGTGTCACACGAGATGTGCATGGTGTGACCACACCCAAACAAGAATACGGTACGGGGCTGGATAGCCAGTAGTTATACATGTATTTAGATTTTACTATACATATTTAGGAAAATCTATTCATTTAAAAATAGGCAGCTTTGCCCCAGATAAAAATAAATAAAGTCAGTTTTGAATTTAAACCGAAGAGTTAATTAGCCTTGGGTTAAGGCTATAATTATTCTTGGAGTAAGCGGATTGCAATCCGCTAAACTCGTACTTGTTCTAGGTATAGAATGAGAGGTCGGTGACCTAACTTACGCTTCCTCAAAGCGCAAAGCTTCGGCAGCCCCGCTGCATATATTGTGTATTGGTTTGAAAAGAATTATATATATATGTGCTTTTCAAAACTACATTAGTTACTTGTAACGATAGAGGTTCTCGATTTCGCTCCTGGAAGGGTTGCACGAATTCAGCATGCAGCGGGGCTGCCGTAGCTTAGCGCTTGAGGAAGCGTACTTAAGGTTTCGTTTTTTACAAGAACTTAGCGGATCAAAATCCGCTTACTTCAAGAGTAATTATTGACTTCCCAAGGCTAGTTGACTCTTCCGTTTTGAAATTCAAAACTGATTTTTATACCGTATTCTTGTTTTGGTGTGGTCACACCATGCACATCTTGTGTGACACACTCCCGACTGGATTTAATAGTTTTGTCATAAAGGCCTTTGATCTTGGTCTAGTGGCACCTTCGAGCGATTACAAGTCTGTCATGACGGTATATTTACATGATTTAATTAGCACCATAATGTGGTTATAGCTCCTAACTTATCATTTTTACTGATGTATCCAATTTCAGTCCGATTTG